CAGAGCACTTCCTCTGCCTAGGCACTCCTGATATCAGAGCACTTCCTCTGCCTAGGCACTCCTGATATCAGAGCACTTCCTCTGCCTAGGCACTCCTGATATCAGAGCACTTCCTCTGCCTAGGCACTCCTGATATCAGAGCACTTCCTCTGCCTAGGCACTCCTGATATCAGAGCACTTCCTCTGCCTAGGCACTCCTGATATCAGTGCACTTCCTGTGGCTACACACTCCTGATATCAGTGCACTTCCTCTGCCTAGGCACTCTTGATATCAGTGCATTTAACCTGTCTAGGCACTCCTGATATCAGAGCACTTCCTCTGCCTAGGCACTCTTAATATCAGTGCATTTCACCTGCCTAGGACGGTCATCCCACGCCATTGGCGTACACCGGTGGTTCCCACCCTGGTTGAATGGGCAGTGGAGTTAGACTTCATAGCAGACCTCGAGGGCCTCTTGGGCGAGGAGCGTGAAGCTGGCAATGCCTAGGCGCACACCTGGTCTATCTGGTTCACCTTTGGGGAATCGGCTGTCTTCACGGATTCTATCTCTTCTTGATCTACTGGTCTGCTGAAGTAAAAGGATCCCATGGCAAGGGACGGGTTCTCCTTTGTACTCCCCTGCTAAGCCTTTACCCCATTTTTTTTTCTCTTCTGGCTCATCTAGTCCCCCTGCTCTCTCTCTCTCTACTCTATACTTCTCCTCCCGCTGGGGGTCTCACCCTGGTTGACTATTACTTCCTGTCCGAACCCGTTCTTCTCCATTGCCGCTGTTGAGTCAATGAGAGTCAGCAGCGGCGGTGGAGGAGGCTGGATGTGGCAGGGAGGAGGAGGCGGGGCCCGTTGGGGTCAGCATCAGAGAAGGAGGCGGGGCCGGTGACGGAGGCGGGCCCGGCGACGGAGGACGGAGCGGGCCAGGCGACGGAGGAGGGAAGACGTAGGAAGAAGATGCGGACAGGTAAGGAGTGTGACCAGCCCACCTGAGGGTGACCCTGCAGAGCCCACC